TTGGGGATTCACCTGTTGCCATCGTTGCAGCATATACAGTATGAGCTTCAGCGAAAGGGTGGGCTTTAACGCCCACTCGCCGCACATATGCGCCTCCTAATGATCGGTAGCCAGCGGGGCCGGCTTCTGATCATGTGACCAGCTTCTGGTCATGTGACCAGCGTGGCAGCTAAGCACAGTGGTCGTGTTATTGGCCAATCTCCCCCCTCCCCCCGGCTCTCAGAACTTTTAAAGGGAAAGGGTTAAATGTTAGTTTTCCTTCCTCTGAGGACAAAGTGGGATTTTCTTTCTTTGGCCGCCATCTTGGATCAGCAGTGGTATTCAGAGATGAAAGGTTGAAGTCGATAGACGTCGGGTCTTCCAGCCTATTGGATCGGTCCCAGCACTGAAATGAGGACAGCAATGCAGAGGCGTTGTCAGAGGGTGGGGGTGTTAGTTGTATTTCTGGCTTGTCGCAGGTAAATTTGCATCTCTTTACTCAGCCATTATTTGGGGTGCAAGGTGGGGGGGTGGGGGGGTATTGGGTTTCCCTGCTGCGGCTGTGTGACTGGGGGGATTGTTGTGTGGACAATGTCTGCGTTATATGGAGAGGGACACTGAGAAGTCAATGGCAGGCTGATGTCACAGGATATTAATGGCTTCTGTGTTCCACTGCTGGCTGCAGCCGGGATTGGGTGAACTGAGGATTTCTCACCAGGTGTCATCATAGCACAGGCTTGCTTTGTCTTTACATTTTCATTTCGTTCTGTAAAATAGTCTTTTGTATTCTTGTAGTTTTATTTAATTTTTTCTAGCATTAAGCAGTGGTCTCCAAACTGCAGCCTGCTGGCTGGATGTGACCCTTTGATTGCATTTTTCTAGCCCTTGGAGCACTATTCCTTCCACTGACACCAATTATGGGGCACTATTCCTCCCCACTGACACCAATGATGGGGCATTATTCCTCCCACTGATACCAATGATGGAGCACTATTCCTCCCACTGACACCAATGATGGGGCATTATTCCTCCCACTGATACCAATGATGGAGCACTATTCCTCCCACTGATACCAATGATGGGGCATTATTCCTCCCACTGATACCAATGATGGGGCACTATTCCTCTCACTGACACCAATGATAGGGCACTATTCCTCCCACTGATACCAATGATGGAGCACTATTCCTCCCACTGACACCAATGATGGGGCACTATTCCTCCCACTGACACCAATGATGGGGCACTATTCCTCCCACTGACACCAATGATGGGGCACTATTCCTCCCACTGATACAAATGATGGGGCACTATTCCTCCCACTGACACCAATGACGGGGCACTATTCCTCCCACTGACACCAATGACGGGGCACTATTCCTCCCACTGACACCAATGACGGGGCACTATTCCTCCCACTGACACCAATGATGGGGCACTATTCCTCCCACTGACACCAATGATGGGGCACTATTCTTCCCACTGATACCAATGCTGGGGCACTATTCTTCCCACTGATACCAATGCTGGGGCACTATTCCTCCCACTGACACCAATGATGGGGCACTATTCCTCCCACTGACACCAATAAGGGGGCATTATTCCTCCCACTGATACCAATGACAGGGCACTATTCCTCCCACTGACACCAATGGCGGGGCACTATTCCTCCCACTGACACCAATGATGGGGCACTATTCCTCCCACTGACACCAATGATGGGGCACTATTCCCCCCACTGACACCAGTGAAGGGGCATTATCCTGACAGACCATTAACTGGCCCTTTTGTTTAGAAAGTTTAGAGACTTCTGGCATACAGGGAGGGAGAACAGACCAAGTGGGCTTCTCTACAGACTGCAGGAACTTTCCTGCTGTCCTCAGCAAACATTCACAGACACTTAGAACATGATCCTAATGGGATCCAGGCTTCCAGATCTATAAATGACACATCACTCTTCTGATTTATACACAGACTGTTACTAATTATATAGTGCCAATATTGGGAATCCCAGATGAGTCCTCAGCAATGACATTCCAGCATTAGGCTATGGGATTGGGTCGTTCCCCTCCGGGTTTGCTTTGTGTGCATTGCCTTCTGACTTGCTACAGACCAGCAAGTTCAGCGGACATGCTATGAAGGTCCCTGCCCAGGCACTTTCTCTTGTGGGACAACAACTCTCCGTCTGTCTGCTTCTGTGTTGTCACCCTTGTTGTGGCCACACTGACGCTCTTGTGCCGCCCTCTATCACAGTTGTCATCAGGGTATCCGCGCTGAGCAAATGATACGCAGCTGCATGCATGTAGACAGGAAGTGGTTGCAGAACATCACCAGCAAAGAAAAAAAGTATCTTCTAAAGTAAAAAACGGCAGTTAAGCCCTTCTTTTGATTACCCTTCCTTTTTACCTTTTCATTGTGTTGCCTTTACCTGACAAGGTTACCCTATGTGGGCCTTCACTGTACTGTTTATTCTTTTCATATGTTATTGATTTATAAAAAAGGAATACAAATGTATTGAACAAAAAAAAAATGGCAGTTGGATACACAATGCTTTAGCAAACTAAACGTTATTCAGTTAACTTTTTTTAAAAAAAGTGAATGCCAACAAATTACAATGGCTTCCACTGTCCGGTTAGCCGAAAGCAGGCTTACAAGTTCCTCATATTTCGGCTCCATTATAAATTATTATTATTTCACAGGATTTATATAAATTATTATTATTATACAGGATTTATATAAATTATTATTATTATACAGGATTTATATAAATTATTATTAATATAATACAGGATTTATAAAAATTATTTTTATTATTATTATACAGGATTTATATAAATTATTATTATTATAATACAGGATTTATACAAATTATTATTATACAGGATTTATATAAATTATTATTATACAGGATTTATACAAATTATTATTATACAGGATTATATAAATTATTATTATACAGGATTTATATAAATTATTATTATAATACAGGATTTATATAAATTATTATTATACAGGGTTTATATAAATTATTATTATTATAATACAGGATTTATATAAATTATTATTATTATACAGGATTTATATAAATTATTATTATTATACAGGATTTATATAAATTATTATTATTATACAGGATTTATATAAATTATTATTATTATACAGGATTTATATATAAATTATTATACAGGATTTATATAAATTATTATTATACAGGATTTATATAAATTATTATTATTATACAGGATTTATATAAAATTATTATACAGGATTTATATAAAATTATTATTATACAGGATTTATATAAATTATTATTATTATACAGGATTTATATAAATTATTATACAGGATTTATATAGCGCCAACAGTTTGTGCAGCGCTTTACAAAATTAAGGTAGACATTACAGTTACAATACAATTTGGTACAAGAGGAAACAGAGGGCCCTGATCCTGAGAGCTTACAATCTAGGAGGAAGGGTGGAGTGATACAAAAGTTAATAGCTGTAGGGGGATGAGCTGATGGAGGAAATAAATGGCGGTTTACTAGGTAGAAGCAGGATAGACTTCTTTAAAGAGGTTTTCAGGGATCTTCTAAAGGTGGATAGATTAGGAGACAGCCAGACAGATTGGGGTAGGGAGTTCCATAGGATGGGAGAAGCTCAGGAGAAGTCCTGGAGGTGAGCATGGGAGGAGGTGACACGGGAACTAGAGAGAAGAAGGTCTTGGGAAGATTGAAGAGAGCGGTGTTGGTTGATATTTTGTGACCAGGCTGGTGATGTAGCTGGGGGCAGAGTTGTGGATGACTTTGTAAGTTGTTAGTATTTTGAATTTTATTCGTTGAGCAAGTGGAGGACAGTGGAGGGATTGGCAGAGAGGGGTGGAGGACACTGAATGGAGGCCAGTGGAGGGATTGGCAGAGAGGGGTGGAGGACACTGAGTGGAGGCCAGTGGAGGGATTGGCAGAGAGGGGTGGAGGACACTGAATGGAGGCCAGTGGAGGGATTGGCAGAGAGGGGTGGAGGACACTGAGTGGAGGCCAGTGGAGGGATTGGCAGAGAGGGGTGGAGGACACTGAATGGAGGTCAGTGGAGGGATTGGCAGAGAGGGGTGGAGGACACTGAATGGAGGCCAGTGGAGGGATTGGCAGAGAGGGGTGGAGGACAATGAATGGAGGCCAGTGGAGGGATTGGCAGAGAGGGATGGAGGACACTGAATGGAGGCCAGTGGAGGGATTGGCAGAGAGGGATGGAGGACACTGAATGGAGGCCAGTGGAGGGATTGGCAGAGAGGGATGGAGGACACTGAATGGAGGCCAGTGGAGGGATTGGCAGAGAGGGATGGAGGACACTGAATGGAGGCCAGTGGAGGGATTGGCAGAGAGGGATGGAGGACACTGAATGGAGGCCAGTGGAGGGATTGGCAGAGAGGGGTGGAGGACAATGAATGGAGGAGGCCAGTGGAGGGATTGGCAGAGAGGGATGGAGGACACTGAATGGAGGTCAGTGGAGGGATTGGCAGAGAGGGATGGAGGACACTGAATGGAGGCCAGTGGAGGGATTGGCAGAGAGGGATGGAGGACACTGAATGGAGGCCAGTGGAGGGATTGGCAGAGAGGGATGGAGGACACTGAATGGAGGCCAGTGGAGGGATTGGCAGAGAGGGGTGGAGGACAATGAATGGAGGCCAGTGGAGGGATTGGCAGAGAGGGATGGAGGACACTGAATGGAGGCCAGTGGAGGGATTGGCAGAGAGGGATGGAGGACACTGAATGGAGGCCAGTGGAGGGATTGGCAGAGAGGGATGGAGGACACTGAATGGAGGCCAGTGGAGGGATTGGCAGAGAGGGATGGAGGACACTGAATGGAGGCCAGTGGAGGGATTGGCAGAGAGGGATGGAGGACACTGAATGGAGGCCAGTGGAGGGATTGGCAGAGAGGGGTGGAGGACAATGAATGGAGGCCAGTGGAGGGATTGGCAGAGAGGGATGGAGGACACTGAATGGAGGTCAGTGGAGGGATTGGCAGAGAGGGATGGAGGACACTGAATGGAGGCCAGTGGAGGGATTGGCAGAGAGGGATGGAGGACACTGAATGGAGGCCAGTGGAGGGATTGGCAGAGAGGGATGGAGGACACTGAATGGAGGCCAGTGGAGGGATTGGCAGAGAGGGGTGGAGGACACTGAACGGTTGGTAAGGTGGATGAGCCTGGCAGCAGTATTCATGATGGACTGGAGGGGGGATAGCCTATGTAAAGGTCAGCCAATGAGGAGGGAGTTGTAGTAGTCGAGGTGAGAGATGACCAGGGAGTGAATTAGGAGCTTTGTGGTATCATTGATTAAAAAGAGACGTATTCTGGAGATGTTGCGGAGGTTGAGGCGGCATGATTTGGACAGGGATTGGATGTGGGCCTGAAAGGATAGTTCAGAATCCAGGTTTCCCCCTAGCACCCTGGCATTCAGGGATGGGTTGATAGCGGTGCTATTGATCCTGAGAAATTCGGGGAAGAGGCATGTGGGGGGAGGTAATATTATGAGCTCAGTTTTGATAAATAAAGGTTATGTTGGCATTTTCACACCCCTGAGCATTACTTATGCAGCGGGCCTGTAAGATCTAGTTGCCTTCGCACAATTTGGGCAGGACATCAGAGAATGAAGTGGGATTCGTTTCTGGTTTCTGTCTCTAGTGTGCTCTCTGCCACCCGGTACGATCGGATAAAGCTTTTTTTTTTTTATCTTGGCACGGGGGATCGTTAGCGCTTTTCTGGGGTCAGCAGTCAGGTGACCACATTCCTCAATGCAGCAGCAGCAGCATATTTGTGCGTCCCCGCAGGAGCCCGGGGTCTAGTTTCTCACAGACAGAGGGAACTTTTTGTTCTTCGCGAGGGACCATTATGAATACATAATAGGTGGTGCCCGCAGATGAAATAGTTGGCACCGCTGTGTCTCGGAGGGAAATAAAGAGGCAGGACTGGAGAATTGTAGCCTTCACTGAATAATTCTGCCTCTGAGCAGTAAAATCCTTCTCGAAATAATACCTCCTGCTTAGTTGGAGAGCAAATCCAGAGTTTTGCTGGAAACTATTTTAGTCGTAGAAGTTGCTGGTCTCTAGTCTGTATATCTCTATATAAGAAGTTTACTTTTTCATCATCCGCTGTCTTGGTAGATGAATACCTGTAGAGGTTTCTGTAGAGGTTTTGGGCTTGACAGATGTAAAGTACAGTCATGGCCAAAAATATTAGCACCCCTGCATTTCTGTCAGATAACGCATCACTTCACCCAGAAGGTTGTTGCGACTACAAATGTTTTGGCATTCCCATGTTTATTTCTTTTGTGTGTATTGGTGTGACACAAAAATGAACCTCGATCAACTTCCAGACAAATCCAAGCTGGCCTTCAGGCACAGGGTACAACCGTGTCCGCTCGCACTATACGTCGCCATCTGAATGAAAAGGGGCGCTATGGTAGGAGACCCAGGAGGACCTCACAGCTGACACAGAAATATGGGAGGAGACCCAGGAGGACCCCACTGCTGACACAGAAATATGGGAGGAGACCCAGGAGGACCCCACCGCTGACACAGAATATGGTGGGAGACCCAGGAGGACCCCACTGCTGACACAGAAATATGGGGGAGACCCAGGAGGACCCCACTGCTGACACAGAAATATGGGAGGAGACCCAGGAGGACCCCACTGCTGACACAGAAATATGGGGGAGACCCAGGAGGACCCCACTGCTGACACAGAAATATGGGAGGAGACCCAGGAGGACCTCACTGCTGACACAGAAATATGGTAGGAGACCCAGGAGGACCCCACTGCTGACACAGAAATATGGTAGGAGACCCAGGAGGACCCCACTGCTGACACAGAAATATGGTGGGAGACCCAGGAGGACCTCACAGCTGACACAGAAATATGGTGGGAGACCCAGGAGGACCCCACTGCTGACACAGAAATATGGTGGGAGACCCAGGAGGACCCCACTGCTGACACAGAAATATGGTAGGAGACCCAGGAGGACCCCACAGCTGACACAGAAATATGGTGGGAGACCCAGGAGGACCTCACAGCTGACACAGAAATATGGTAGGAGACCCAGGAGGACCCCACTGCTGACACAGAAATATGGTGGGAGACCCAGGAGGACCCCACTGCTGACACAGAAATATGGGGGAGACCCAGGAGGACCCCACTGCTGACACAGAAATATGGTAGGAGACCCAGGAGGACCCACACTGCTGACACAGAAATATGGTAGGAGACCCAGGAGGACCCCACCGCTGACACAGAAATATGGTGGGAGACCCAGGAGGACCCCACTGCTGACACAGAAATATGGGAGGAGACCCAGGAGGACCCCACTGCTGACACAGAAAATATGGGAGGAGACCCAGAAGGACCCCACTGCTGACAGAAATATGGTAGGGAGACCCAGGAGGACCTCACAGCTGACACAGAAATATGGTAGGAGACCCAGGAGGACCCCACCGCTGACACACTGAAATATGGTGGGAGACCCAGGAGGACCCCACTGCTGACACAGAAATATGGGAGGAGACCCAGGAGGACCACACTGCTGACAGAGAATAATGGTAGGAGACCCAGGTGGAGACCACTGCTGACACAGAAATATGGGGGGAGACCCAGGAGGACCCCACTGCTGACACAGAAATATGGTGGGAGGCCCAGGAGGACCCCACTGCTGACACAGAAATATGATGGGAGACCCAGGAGGACCCCACTGCTGACACAGAAATATGGTGGGAGACCCAGGAGGATCCACTGCTGACACAGAAATATCGTGGGGGACCCAGGAGGACCCCACTGCTGACACAGAAATATGGTAGGAGACCCAGGAGGACCCCACTGCTTACACAGAAATATGGTAGGAGACCCAGGAGGACCCCACTGCTGACACAGAAATATGGTAGGAGACCCAGGAGGACCCCACTGCTGACACATAAATATGGTGAAAGACCCAGGAGGACCCCACTGCTGACACTGAAATATGGTGGGAGACCCAGGAGGACCCCACTGCTGACACATAAATATGGTGAAAGATCCAGGAGGACCCCACCGCTGACACAAAAATATGGGAGGAGACCCAGGAGGACCCCACCGCTGACACAGAAATATGGGAGGAGACCCAGGAGGACCCCACCGCTGACACAGAAATATGGGAGGAGACCCAGGAGGACCCCACTGCTGACAGAGAATAATGGTAGGAGACCCAGGAGGACCCCACTGCTGACACAGAAATATGGGGGGAGACCCAGGAGGACCCCACTGCTGACACAGAAATATGGTGGGAGGCCCAGGAGGAGCCCACCGCTGACACAAATATGGGAGGAGACCCAGGTGGACAGCACTGCTGACACAGAATTATGGTGGGAGACCCAGGTGGACCCCACTGCTGACACAGAAATATGGTGGGAGACCCAGGAGGACCCCACTGCTGACACAGAAATATGATGGGAGACCCAGGAGGACCCCACTGCTGACACAGAAATATGGTGGGAGACCCAGGAGGATCCCACTGCTGACACAGAAATATCGTGGGGGACCCAGGAGGACCCCACTGCTGACACAGAAATATGGTGAAAGATCCAGGAGGACCCCACCGCTGACACAGAAATATGGGGAGGAGACCCAGGAGGACCCCACCGCTGACACAGAAATATGGGAGGAGACCCAGGAGGACCCCACCGCTGACACAGAAATATGGGAGGAGACCCAGGAGGACCCCACTGCTGACACAGAAATATGGTGGGAGACCCAGGAGGACCGCACTGCTGACACAGAAATATGGTGGGGAGACCCAGGTGGACCCCACTGCTGACAGAGAATAATGGTAGGAGACCCAGGAGGACCCCACTGCTGACACAGAAATATGGTGGGAGACCCAGGTGGACCCCACTGCTGACAAAGAAATATGGTGGGAGACCCAGGTGGACCCACTGCTGACACAGAAATATGGTGGGAGACCCAGGAGGACCCCATTGCTGACACAGAAATATGGTGAAAGACCCAGGAGGACCCCACTGCTGACACAGAAATATGGTGAAAGACCCAGGAGGACCCCACTGCTGACACAGAAATATGGTGAAAGACCCAGGAGGACCCCACTGCTGACACAGAAATATGGTGAAAGACCCAGGAGGACCCCACTGCTGACGAAGAAACATGTTAGAAGCCAGATTGGAGTTTGCCAAAACTTACCTGAGGAAGCCAAAATCTCTTTGGGAGAATGTGCTGTGGACAGACGAAACAGAATTACAGCTTTTTGGTAACGCCCATCATTCTACTGTTTTTTAGAGGTCGTGGGTCTTCCAGTAGGACAATGACCCAAAGCACACGTCAAGAAGTCCCTAGACAAAGCGCTGGAGAGGACAGAACTGGCCAGCAATTAGTCCAGATCTCAATCCCATAGAGCTCCTGTTGGAGAGATCTCAGAACATCAGTTGGGAGGAGGAACCCTTCCAATCTGAGAGACCTGGAGCAGTTGGTGGAAGAAGAGCGCTCCAAAATTCCAGTAGAGAGGTGGAGGAAACTCATTGATGGTTACAGGAAGCCATTGATTTCAGTTGTTTTTTCCAAGGAGTGTGCTACCAAATATTACATTCAAGGCGCCAATAATTTTGTCCGGTCCATTGTTGGGGTTTTACGTGGAATGTGTCATATTTGGCTTTTTGTTTCTTCACTTTTTTGTGTCATACCAATACAAACAAAAGAAGTAAACATGAGAATGCCGAAACATTTGTAATTGCAGAAATTTTCAGGGTGAAGTGGTGCATTATCTGACAGAAATGCGGGGGGGGGGGGGTTGGGGGCATTATTTTTGGCTATGGCTGTATATTAAGATCAGTGATTCACCTTCTGAGATAACTGTCCCATCCAAAGACTACAGGTAATTGAACAAGCCAACCAACCCACTTGCCTGTGAAGTGACCTGGCTGGACGATGCATTTTGTATGTGGTCCCCATGGCATGAAATTCTCATATAACCTAAATGCTATACAGGCTTCCAACACTGAAGCCAAAAATCTATACAAGTCAAATCTGGTCATCAACATGAATAGCCAAGTCTGTTTCGGATTAGGTCACCTTGTAGATATAAGTTGCAAGGAAACCTCATCCGAAACATTCACAATGATGACCAGATTTGACTTGGACTGTTTTTTTTTTTTTTGCCCCAGTAATGGGAGCCCCTATAGCACATACGTCAAACACAAGGCCTGCAGGGTGAATTTGGCCCACCAGGCCTTGTCTTGTAGCCCTCGCAGCCGGAACGTGGTGGAACTCTATTCTGCTACCTCTGGGTCTGCTCTCACTCTCCTGTCACTTGTAAACACAGAAGCCTTCTTTGTTTACAAGGGACAGCTATGCTCAGCAGATCCTGGATGTAACCGGTCCCGGCACAAGCTCACGGCGGGGGACAGATTTCCAGAGAGAGAGAACGGTCTCCCTGCAAAGTGAGCAACCTACACAGGGAGGTACTAGAGCTGGGCCAGGTAGGAGAGAGAGATGGGAGGAAAGAAG